GAAGAGGAGGTTAAAAGAGTCGAAGAATTAGAGAAATTGTTAAAAGACGCACTAGAAGAAAAAGAGAATGCAGTTAGCCAGGTCAAAAACGCTCAAATTAAGTGGGAAAATAGACAGCAAGAACTGCAGGCGAAGATTGAGGATCTTGAGGGTGCCTCGGAAGAAATGAAGGAGGCAGAGATCGCATTTGCCGAACTGAAAGATCATATGCTGGAATTACAGACGGAGAAAGATCGCTTGGAGCAGAAAGTCCAGGAGGAAAGCCTCATCAACAAAAGGCTCGGAACAGAAGTGCATTCTCTAGAGGCGCAGCTAACTCATGCTGATCGACAAATACGCGAACTGAAGTTAGATTCTGCCGATAACAAGAATAAAATGGACTCGCTAAGAAGGAAGACAATTGGAGGAGCTAGAGCGCAAAGGTACATTCAGGACGTGTTCGAGGAAGAGGACAGTTCCACGGAATCCGATGAAGGTCCACCACTAATGCTGGACGATTTCGCAAATTCTCTGGGAGGAAGCATGAAAGCTACAACACTCCCGGACGGCGCTTTCAACAAGTCAAACAGATCTCTCACCAGTCTTCACTCGGCCTCAAGTTCAAGCCTGAGGGCTGGTGTCCAGACTCGCGCCAGTCGCCGTCAGAGTGCTATATACATGCGCGGGAACACTCCGCCTGAGAGGCGCACCACAAACAGTGCAGCGTTCTTTATCCTGGGTGACGGTTTGCGACCGGAAATGGAGCAAGATGCTGAATACGACTGGACCCGACTGGCCGAACTGCAGCGTCGGAACGCGTCGTGCCTCCCTCACCTGCAGACCTCGTACCCGGTGGAAACTCAAATGCAGCCAGACATCTCCGGCCAGGAAGATGCGTTAAAGACGGGAAGAATGTCCTTAGATGCATCCCTGACTAAAACTTACAACACGCGCAAACGGAAATCGGAAGAAAGTGCCTCGAGCATGTTAAAGACAAGGAGCCATGGGTCGAGTTTGCCGAAATCCAAGTCTGCTCCCAACATCACACCTGCGAAGCAGCCTCGGTCCCAGCGACTGGTTACGGCGATGCAGTCAGCGTTTGGTTCCCTCCGGTCCCGCTCAAACGAGAATCTATCTCATGAAGCGCCTGAACAAGATGAAAATTCCTCACGGAGGGAGAGCGTGGCTTACAACATCGAAATATCGCCGCCAAAGAAGGAAAAAAGCGGGATTGCACGACGCCGAACCATCGCGCGGTCCACAGGAACGAGTCGACTTCTTGGTGAAAAGACGAAAGATTCCTTGAAGAAATCAAAAACCCAACAGTTG